GCCCACTACCCCAGTTGCATTTATGCTACACGAGAAAAAAGACCAAAAATTTCACGAACGTTTTATTTCCATCATAACAGAAAAATGCCCAAATATAAAAAAGAAAGACATTGTATTCGTTGCAGATCGCGAACCAGGTATAACTAATGTCATAGAGAAAAAAATTAGATAACGCAAAATTGTACCATTGCTGGAATCATATAAAGAGGGACGTTATGGAATGGCTCCCTTAAAGAAAAACTCCAACATCAAATGTGGAGCTTTATATGAAACATTTAGATACCTTATTGAGGTGTACGACTGAATACCAATTCCAACAACAGCTAGATACTTTAAGTGGTCCTTGGTGTGAGTCCTTTGAACAATATTTCCAGAGTCACATTAAAGATGATATAATGGAATATTCAGGCCGTTGGCTCCTGGAGCAGGCAGGGATTTACAATGAAAAGTCCGGTATTACTACTAATATCTCTGAGGGTTTCAATACAATAATAAAATATATGAATAATCACAGGCGAATGTCCGTCGCAAACATGATTTTAAGTTTATTCTATCTACAAAATTCGATTCATGTAGAAATGTTACGTGGAAGGGCCGGGCTAGGAGATCAAGAACTTAAATCCGATTTTTCTTACTCAAAAATTCATTTAAAAGATTTAAAATTTCCTCATAAAATAGTGAAAGAAGATGAAATATATAATGTTGTGCAAACTGCAATTTCTGAATTGGACATAAAAAGCGAAACAGAACACTGTGACAATAAAAAAGAAAACGTAATACAAATAAACACACAAGATGACTTAGCAAGTAAAGTTATTTCTGCAGATGGAGTGAGATTAGTCCCAGAAATGAATGCGTTCATGGTTTGCGGATTAAGGGACAAAAAATATACAGTTACACTTTTCCCCAAAGAAGAGTGTCAGTGCCCGGCAACAGGTACGTGTTACCACATAATCGCCGCAAAGCGTAGCATTGGAATAACAAACATTGAGAAAAAAGAAGAAAGAAGATTGATAAGTCTAATGAGATACAAAAACCGCCCTAAGACTCAACGAAGACTCGGACAGAAAAAACAAAAACAATCAGACTTTGAAAGCATAGTACCTGCTCCAGACTCGAAATTAGCTAAGGCTGAAAACAATGACGGTGTTATGAAATACAGTCCGCCAAATACCCCTGAACCAACACCTAAAAAAATAAAATTAGAAACTTCGTTGAGTGAATCACCAAATAAAGATGACCAGCATGTTGTCACACCGCCAAAAATACTAAAATTACCAAATATATCTTCACCTTCTGTAACTGACATTTTACATGAAACGCCTACCTCAATATTTCGCGATGATTCCGATATCAGTGTACCGTGGTTACCTGAACTGGATTTAAGTATGCAAGACAAAGAAATAATTGAATCTAATCAATGGCTCACTGATAAACATATAAACGCAGTTAATACGATACTTTCGAAACAATACAAAAACATTCAAGGATTTCAAGACACAAAAATGACTCCGTATTATATAGATAACGACAAAACATGGAATACAGACAGAAAATTTCAGTCAGCAACTCCGCCATGTACTCAGATTCACTTTGACGGCAACTGTCATTGGACATGCAGTTTCTCGCATGAGTCGGGTTGTGTGTATTATCTAGATATGTAATAATCCCAATAGATTTAATTTTAACGTTACATACAAAATTGAAGAGATGCGAGAACATTTAACTTTATGTTTAGAAAATGGTAAAATGTACCCATTTCCAAAAGAGGAGCAAAAAACCCGTTCGTCAGCTTTTATGGGCATCCCTAGGGTCGTGAAGCTAGAAAAACGCAGATGTGTTTGCGGAATGCCAGATTTTATAGACGACATAATAGGATGCGAAAATCGCAAATGCAATAGATGGTACCATTTAAGATGTGTTGGTATCAGTAGAAAAAGATCAATTACTGGTTGGAAATGGGAATGTATAAAATGTAAAAACATCAATTCATAAATGTATGTTAATTCATGTTGCTATATTATTGAAATAAGTTGTTTTAATTTGTTGTTATTTATTTTATATTTATATTTTCTTTTTCATATCAATTTTCTACATATATACTTTATTCAAATGTACTGTTTAATTTAAACTTTAAAGCAGCACACCTCCAGATTAATGCTAATTTTCATAAAAAGTTGAAATGTATTATGACCAAAGATATTAATTTACACTAACATTCCACGTTAATTACCAATAAGAGGTCAAATATGCAAAAACAGTTCTATTTGCGTTGGTTATGCTTCGAAAATATCTCTGTGCTAATAAATAAGACAAAATTAGGCATTAATAATATATACTAGTATTGTGTAAATTATTACTTTAATCTCGAAACTTTTTGCTTTTTTAAAATCTTTATCTCAAGTTTGATTTTTCTTGAAATATTTTCGTTTATCTGGAGTCATGCAGCTTTAAAATGAAATAATATACTGAAACATGTGTTTATTTATATGTCCTATTTTGTACTTGTATGTAATATGTTTAAAGAACTTCGTACATAATATATCAAAAGATACTATTGGAATCACCCTAGTAATTTGTAATTTATTTCTCTGGTTCCGTTGATGGAGACTCCTAATCTTTCCGTTCTTATGTACAGATCACCATCATGTGCTCTATATTTTCGTTTTCGTTTTTCAATGGGGCATTTATGTGTTGGTGAATGTATCATATTTAGCACTATGTATTATTTGTGGATAGCGCCCCTTTCCAAGAAAGAGCAAAATCCTTAAATGATATCAACATATTATCTAGGAGCATCCAACCTCGTTAACCATATTATTATTATATAGAAATTAATATGTTTTGTCGTATTGTAATATTTACATTATTCTGCTTCTCCCAAGCGAGATGTCATGTGAAACCACTCTTCGTTTAATATTGTTCCCTGAAGCTCTTTGATTTGGTAATTTTATATGGCACAGTTAATCAGCTTAAATTGTATGAGCTACTTTTACATTTATCAAAGAATTATTTCCCGTGAATACACATGACATCTCGACTTCTTGTCACGTATCGCCATTTTTCTATTTTTTGTATGTATATATATTGATGCTTTGTCAATGGCTCTCTTTAGGGCTTTAGTGCAAATAAAAGTTCTTCTTCTTCTTCTATGTCTGTATATGTGTTTGTTCAAAATTAACTACTTCTACCTAACGGATATATGTTTTAAATGCATGTATATAATAATAGAATGAATTGATTGCCAACTTGTATTGACCTTCTTTATATATCCATTATTATATTTATTTTTTAAACTATCCCGTGTTTCACTTAACACATTGTCTGATACGATCCCAGCTTTTCTGATTGCGATACAGCCGGGATCTCTATATAATCTAATACGATCCCGGCTTTTCTAAATGTGATATGGAAGTGGTCAATTCACGGGATCTCTCTATATCTTATACGATCCCGGCTTTTTTGATATCTTATCCGATCCCGGCTTTTCTGAATGTTATTATGCAGACGGTCAATTCCCAGGATCTCTATATATCTAATACGATCCCGGCTTTTTCTGAATGTGATTTAAAGCAGACGGTCAATTCCTGGTATCTCTATATATCTAATACGATCCCGGCTTTTTCTGAATGTTATTATGCAGACGGTCAAAACCCGGTATCTCTATATATCTAATACGATCCCGGCTTTTTCTGAATGTGATTTATAGCAGACGGTCAATTCCCGGTATCTCTATATATCTAATACGATCCCGGCTTTTTCTGAATGTGATTTATAGCAGACGGTCAATTCCCGGTATCTCTCTCCTTGTTTAATACGATCCCGGCTTATCTGAATGTGACATGGCAGTGGTCAATTCCCGGGATCTCTATATACATGTATCTAATATGATCCCGGCTTTTCTGAATGTGATAAGGGAGTTCAAAGATATTCGGTCTAAACTATTGTACAAGTATCGTAAAGATCTAATAGGGAAATTGACAATCTGCATTACTGATGCGTTTGTTGTGATTTATCAATAATGGTATAATATACTTATATTTTGACAGGAGTAAAATAATTTGAACATTACAAGTCGGATTATGTTTGGCAAGTGGAAATCACTATGGAGATCTATATCTAAGTAGGAAAACCAGAAATTTACACAAAAGGTCATTTGTTCCGTGACAAATCAAACAAAGTGTATTTTAATAAAAATAAGAGCGAGGAAAAAAACACTAAATATCTCACTTTACGTAGCATTCACACTTCGTTTCACCAGACAGATGTCTCTACTCTAATATTGTAAAAGGGCACGTGTCATCTTAGTCAAATATCTCGAAATCATTGCAACAATAAAACCAACTCCGTCAGAAAAATAATACAATTCTTCTCTACAATTCCTTGTAAAAATCTGACATAACATTACACATCTCTGTAAAAATGCAGATCTAATCGATAATTTACCAATGACACCTGCATTACTGTTATATGAAAATACATGTATATTTAATACATTTAAAAATACATGTATAAAATGCATGTTTATTTCAATAAATGATTTTTTTACCAATTGGCATTTACTTTTTCTTATTACTTATTATTATTATGTGTTTATATTAAACTTCTATCATAAAAAACAAAGTGGTGTCCCCAGACATTTGTTGTACAGTACTGTACGTATGTATGCGCGAAAATCATTAAATTACAAAAATATATCATAGCCATCAAGACTAAAAAAGTAAATAAACAACATTAAACCTGTCTGCATTTCATATCACAAGCATATCCTTGACAAAAGGCATGAGATAATCGATAATTTATCGATCACACCGATAGCAGGTGGTCAATTCCCGGGATTACTATATGTTTAATACGATCCCGGATCCCGGCTTTTCTATAGGCGATCCCGGGATTTTCCCCCCACCTTTAGTTGTGTTCAACTTTCGTTTTATTTAGTGGTCAATGACCAAAAGAAGGACGTGTCGTAGACGGGTTTTATACAATGCAAAACGATCACGACGAAACTTACTAATTTTGTTAGATCTGTTAATTAACATTTTTATTTATTACTTATAAAATAAACTATAAAGACTTATATCTTTTCTGACTATATTGATGCGAGTCTGAGAATTTGCTTTGGCTATAAAAATAATTTGTTTTCGCGAAAAAGTGACAAGGTAGCCGGATAAAGGATATTGTTTGGATATAAAAATAAAGGTGAGATTTGTTCGAATGGTAGCTTAATTCATTGCAAATGATATGATAATAAGATTTATCACTTTAACACATGAGCTTGATTTGTGCTATATTTATCTGTTGTCGCAATAAGGCTTTCTACATACATTTTATGTACATGTACCAGCATTAAGTTTAATTATTTAATGAATACCTGCTGAATGATAATATTTCTTGACTCTTTTGGAAGATCTTGGTCCTTTTTTAAGCCCTCTTGGTGTCAAATTTGTATGCCACTCCCTAATTTTGGTCTTAATGCTATTTTTGAAGGGTTAATAACCAGCCTGTATTCCGGCCTATTGCTGGGACATTATTCACGAATTCGAAAACCTAGCTAAACGCCGTTTTCCGGTACTTTCTGAACATAGCTCTGGGGAATTCACATAATGGATTGTAATAGCAAACTCGATGTTTTCCGCCTTTTTTTTAAATTAAATTGAAATAAAACAGTTTTTTCTTTATAAGAAAATAATTAAATATCATTGTATGAATAATTCCATACAAAAAATAAAGTAAAAACACAAGTTTACGCAGAAAATAACCTTATTTATTATGGAAGATTCCACTACGTCTGTTTTAATTTTAGTGATTTTCATTATTAACAATTTATTTTTTGAAAAATTTGCAATAGATAATTTAAAGGAATATTGATAATTTTCAAATACATCAATTTTTCACCTTAAATGGTAAAATAATGATAGAAAAATAGAAATATCATGTAACTATGTTATGTACTTCATTTGGTGTAAGTCCCCAGAGCTAAATCCATAACGTACTGGAAAACGGTGTTTAGCTAGGTTTTCAAAAAGGTCAATATAACAGAACAAGCAAATGAACATTAGTGTTGCTTATCTTAGCCAGCAATCTCAAAAAGGTACATCAAGGGGTTGCCAGAAGTGGGATGTCACTCGTCCTGTAATGTTATGTCTCAGCTTATTTGTAATGTTAATGTACAATTTGTAGAATATATTCCAGATTCACACAGTAATGGATAGAGTTGGAGACATGTGTATTTATATAGGTGACAGAGAAGACGCTGAGTCACTACAAAATAGCAATGAAGCTGGAATTACACATATCGTTACCGTAGATAAATATCCATTGAAATGGATAGAGGTATAGTAATTGTTCCTAAAGAATCTTGTTTTATTTTTCATCATTATTGAATTGGAAAAAATTGAAATATTTTTTTTGTTATGTACACCATACTATGAAATATTACACTTTGTAAACATACAGAATTATTTGGTCAATATCCAAGATTGATATAACTATGTTGTGTATTCTTTTCAAATTAAATCTTCTTTTGTTAATTCTTATATTATCCAGGCTTTTGTTTTACTAGTATTTAAAAGCACTATTAATTATTACTAAATAGTCCATTTTGCTGTCCTACTGATAGCTCTTGTTTTAAATTCCCCAATAACTATTTGTATATTCATAAATGAACATTCAACTTAACTTTTATAATAATCATGTATTACATGTGAAAGAGAATGGGGCCGAATTTTAGCCTAGAATCATAAGATGGTGCATAATTTTATAATGTATCATTCATTTTGTACTTGAAGGAGAATGGAATATTTAGGTACCTGTACCACCAATGTCTTGATATGGAGACTACAGACTTATTGTCACAGTTTAAACACATGTTTAACTTTATTGATGAGGCAGACAAACAGAATGGAAAAGTTTTAATTCATTGGTAAGTTCATAGCTAGCTTGATAGGTTTTAGCTACTTCTGAATTCTTGGTAAGTTCATAGCTGATTATATGAGATAAACAATTATGTAGCTTAGTTAAGTTCATAGGTGATTACTAGTATATGAGCTATTTTACAATATCATATTTATGACAGAGTAAGTTCATAGCTGGTTAAAATCATTATTTGCTAGCCTACATGTAGTTAGTTCAGGGTTGAGTAAATTAAATTCTAAGTTAAGGTATTAGGCTCTTTCTTAAAAATTTAAGTAAGCAGTAGGAAAATTAAAACTTATAGTGAAAATTTCCTTAAATTGTGCATGGTTTAAGAGAATTATAATCAAAACAAATTGATGAAAAAAATATGGGGATCACAACTGTACTTTTTAAGTTATTTGACAATATTTTTGATGTTGCATTTCTTCTGTTTTCAGTCTTGCAGGTATGTCACGTAGTTCTACCATAGCTGTGGGATATTTAATGTATAAGAGCAAAATACCTCTGGAGGTGGCTATGCATATAGTGAAACAGTATAGGAAAAAGATAAAGTATGTCCTGTATGCAGTATAACTTTACAAATCTAATGCTCTATGTTACATTAGTAAATGATATAGATGCAGTTTAAAGATAGATATTTGTGAAAGATATAGGGTCAAGAAATATTATGATATTTTATACAGTTGGAAATAAGATTAGTATATTTATACATCACAATTAAGAAAAGAAATATATATACATGTACAATGTATATAAGAACATAAGACTTAGTATATTTTTTGTGGGAAATAAGAATTAGTATATATTTAAATAGTGGGAAATAAGAATTAGTATATATTTAAACAGTGGGAAATAAGAATTAGTATATATTTTAACAGTGGGAAATAAGAATTAGTATATATTTAAACAGTGGGGAATAAGAATTAATATATATTTAAACGGTGGGAAATAAGAATTAGTATATATTTAAACAGTGGGAAATAAGAATTAGTAAATATTTAAATAGCGGAAAAATATTTCGTTTTACAGACCAAACGAAGGATTCATGAGGCAGTTAGAGCTGTTTGAACAGATTGGGTTTTCACTAGATTCTAATAATGCGGCTTATAAACAGTACAAACTTGAAGTGATGGCTCAAAATATACAGACAGGTATTAAATATGTGATCATCATTAAATTTAGATTTTGCATTTAGTACATTAAAGTGCATGAAGCTATATCTTTTGAAATATGTCTTGAAAATTTAAAAAAAAACAGTAAAATTATGTTGTTTTTCATAGCATCATAGTAGTTTCACAGATAAGCAGTTGTACAATCACATACTGAAAATTGCCATGTATGGTATCCTACTTGCAGCTCCTGTTTTATTTTATTTTTGCATTTTGTGTACGTAATAGTGCTATGTAAGGGGTATCTTGGAGCTTGTATTTGACTTGAGAGGGTTTTACTAGGATAGGAGTTTACAAGGCATGATAGCACTGAATGTGATCAGATTTTTTTTTAAATCTATAAGAGTCAGTACAAATAATAGATCAAGAACCCCCATTTTATAATATATGCTATTTATTTAACCTTAATATAGTTAGCATAATGCTTAACAACCATAATGTAGTTAGCATAATGCTAAACATCCATAATGTAGTTAGCATAATGCCAACAACCATAATGTAGTTGGCATAATGCCAACAACCATAATGTAGTTGATATAATGCCAACAACCATAATGTAGTTGACATAATGCTAACAACCATAATATAGTTGACATAATGCTAACAATGTCATTACAGATCACACTCAAGTGTCTTTGAATTTTGTTTAAAAATAAATCTTAGGTTGCATCCATGAAATGACCTACCGTAATATCACTTAATCCATAGGCTTTATAGCTTTGAATTAATTCAGCCAAACCTGCCATATAATCATATGAAATGACTAACTATTACAGGTGGTATAGAAGTTAAAGAAAGTGACCTTGCTGAAGATGTCGGCACAAATAAAACAGAGAATTACTACAGATGTAAGAAATGCAGGTAAGAACTGAGCTACATGTACTCGTTTAAACCCTTTTTAAACCTGCTAAACCTGCTATAAGATTCTAAAGGTGTCTCCAAGGCGTGCTTCTTTCAAAACAGCCCTAATTGTAGCACCACCCTCCCAAGAAAGTACCAACCTGCGGAGTAAGTCATAACAGGCCACCCTTTTATCCCTGCTACTTGGGGCAAATTGTCCATGACCTGCCATGTGCATTCACCATAACGAGCATGCCCTAGGAGAGAGGCTCCCAAAGTTTGTTGAATTTATTACAAGCTATTAACTGCTTAACATGTTAAACATTGAAATAATATAATAGAATGAAATAGTTAATGATTGTGTGATTTTCAGGAGAGCGTTATTCAAAAGTTCCAGTCTCCTACCTCACACAGAAGGTCAAGGTGAGGCAGCATTTGACTGGCGTAGTAAAATTCCTGCAAATAAGCGACCAGCCTGTGATACAGATGAAAAACAAGAGGACACAGTCTGCAGTAGATCTTTGTTTATAGAACCAGTCCAGTGGATGGCAGGATTTGTGAATCAGCTAGAAGGCAAGGTAATGTCATAGAGTTCATATATAGGTTAACCTTTTATCTGCTGAATATGTCTAATGTATTTGCCCTGATTTGGATATGGAATATTCCATTAATATTAAGTTTAAGGGAGTTTGTTGTCAAAACAATAGTCGTCTGGTTAGCTCAATACGTAGAGCGTTGGACTGCGAATTGACAACCTGGGTTCAATTCCCGGATGGTGCTCGTCACTTTCCTTGTGACTGATCATAAAATCCTTTCTATGGTTATTCCCACTGTACCTATGCTCTGGCTTGCACAGAAGGTATCAATTCTTTGCATGCCCAATGTTGCACCTGAACTGTGCTCTAGTATATTCAATGTGGCTTACTGCCATTATCTTGAGTGAAAACTAAAAACACCACCATACTGTTAAAACAAAAGCATTGTGTTGGCATCACACTTGATTTCTGCTTTACATGCAACATAAATTAGCAATTAGGTATTCACTAGAAACTCCGGACATATCTTCAAGATAATTATGACCAAGACCCATCACTGCATTGCGTGTTACAGAATTATTCCCCTTTGTGTATACAAGTTTCTGTATGTAAGATAAGTGTCGACTTGAAAATAATGTCAGCAGGAATTGGTAGAAACCATTTTCATTAAAAAGGTTGGAAAAAGGATTAATCTGAGAATGAATAATAGTACTATGATGTAAAATATACACAGAAATATGCTTTCATAAGGTCAATGTTGATGATTATGCTGAACAGTAATGATTAAACTTCAGCTTTAAATATGAATATTTATTATTTAAAATTTTCTGTTCATGTTTGGTCAAGATAATTTCTTTCAATTGCCACTTATCATATGTTGATTAGTTCATGATCAGATTTTGTATTGAAGAAGAAAAAATAATTAATGATTTTTTCCCCTATCATCTGTATTTTTCTATTGAGATATTTGACATGTGTATGCCAAACAGGAAAACGATGTTGAAGGAAACAATGTCAAACAGGGACATTGTATCACTAGATATACTATTCTTTACCTAGAAATGTGATCCATGGCTTTATTTTCTATTACACTATGTAGGTGATGTGTCCAAAGTGTGATTCCAAACTTGGCTCTTTTATCTGGTATGGTAAGTAACATTAATATAACTTATATTTACAGAAAAAATATACTATAAATCATCTTTGGGTGAAATACTTTCCGAGTATTTTAAAATACTTACCAAATATGCAGAATTTGAATCATCATCATAACCCAGTTCTATATATATGTACTACATTTAATACTGGTATATGGTAAATAGTCTGGGTTATTGAGGATGAATTTGAATAAGAGAACGCACAGAGTATGTTTTGGAAACTGTTTTTGGCTGTATTACTAGTCAAATCAATTTGGTCTTTTGTAAAAGAAACTGCCAGTTGTTGTTTTTTTTAATGACACAGTGTTTACCTGTTTAGATTTAAAATATAACATATCTTGTCTTTGTGAACTCTTTTGGTGGTCGTCTCTATATTATCTTTATTTGTTTGATTGTTATTTAAAAATCTAACATATTTTTTTGTCCCATATATATTCTAGTATACCAATACATGTTTACATATTTCTTCACAGGTGAAAGATGTCCATGTGGAACTTGGGTTGCTCCAGCATTTCATATTCAAAGTTCAAAGGTCGATTTTATAAAGCCACGCCCACCAGTTGTAATGAACCAATCACAGAGCAACATAAGCTCAATGCCTTCAAATTACACACCTCCAGGATCTAAAGACAATGGCCAGGCAGAGATTACAAGTCCAACTTGATACATTTATTAGAATGTAAAAAACTAAACTATTTTTAGGAATAAAATGTGATGTTGCTTCCAACAATAAATTATACTGGAATGTCATGTACAGTTAAAGGTGTAATGTGGAATCATTTACACATTCACATTAAAACTTTTTTAGTACTGGTAAGATTTGTTGTGGTTTTTTTTTATTTCTTCAAATTATAATAAGATATCTTCTGTATAAAGATTTTTACCCGACCTGTCAAAATTTGGATTTTTTAAAAAAAAAAATTGGCAGTGTCATTTATTGGTGGAATTTAATGCCAATAACCTTAATACCAAAGGTAATAATGAGGTCACTAATCATAAACATTTATCAATAGTTTGTCAACCAAACACATGAGGGATCTTCTCAAATGCAGTTAACCTTGAAAAATCAAGTACTAGTACTGTGACTTTAAATCCTCAATCTTTGTTAATGCTGTAGTTCCTTTACTACCGTCCTACAAATTGATACGGCATATGTGGCAGGTGTGATGTTCCTTATATTGAGATACGTTTTATTCCCGATTTACTTGGTTATAAATACAATGAACATATTAAATCAAACTCGGCAAAAGCACGTATTTCCAATCTTATCCTTGGGGGTACAAAAATATTTTAACCGTTCACAATAGTGATCAAGGCATTATGATCACTAGAAATATAAATAAATTTACCAAGTTGTAAATGTTAAAGTTTATAAGCCTAGGATAAGATAGGAAATACACACATGTGCCTAGTTCCGGAGTATCTCTATTGCAACCAAATTGCGGTCAATACTGTACCCTGAACAATGAAGTCAGCGTCCTTAACCACTCGGCCACAGATGCAAACAAATAAAACACTTCTAGTAGTTCACAATTATAGCAGGATGACTTTTTAAAGCTTGTGGACCAAGAAATCATCAAGTAGCTACATGTAAATGCAATGTATTTTTGTTCCTTTTGATGTGCCTATTCAAACTGCTCAAACCACCTTGAAAAATGTTTCAGGTAATGTGTTTTTTCCAGCTTAACTTTGGGAAAGTCGAAGTCCCTACAAGTGAAAAATGTTGAGAAGACTTAAATTATGTAAAGTGGTGACTCCTCTGCCTCCTGGACTGCAGGAAATGAGATGATGCCAGTAGTGTCAACCTCAGGGACAGTTTTACTTGTATTCAATTCAATTCAATATCTTTAGTGCATTTAACATTTTACAATGCTTATAGCACATATACTCATGATAATAAAAAATACTAAAACAAGACACAACAAAATACTAAGACAAGGAGCAACCTTGTTCAAAGTCAGCGACCTTATACAAAGTCCGCGACCATGTTCAAAGTCAGCGACCAGCTACCTTATACAAAGTCTGCGACCATGTTCAAAGTCAGCGACCTTATACAATGTCCGTGACCATGTTCAAAGTCAGCGACCTTATAGAAAGTCCGTGACCATGTTCAAAGTCAGCCACCTTATAGAATGTCCGTGACCATGTTCAAAGTCAGCGACCTTATACAAAGTCCGTGACCATGTTCAAAGTCAGCGACCTTATAGAATGTCCGTGACCATGTTCAAAGTCAGCGACCTTACACAAAGTCCGCAACCATGTTCAAAGTCAGCGACCTTACACAAAGTCCGTGACCATGTTCAAAGTCAGCGACCTTACACAAAGTCCGCAACCATGTTCAAAGTAAGCGACCTTACACAAAGTCCGCGACCATGTTCAAAGTCAGCGACCTTACACAAAGTCCGCAACCATGTTCAAAGTCAGCGACCATGTTCAAAGTCAGCGACCTTACACAAAGTCCGCGACCATGTTCAAAGTCCACAACCATGTTCAAAGTCAGCGACCTTACACAAAGTCCGCGACCATGTTCAAAGTCAGCGACCTTACACAAAGTCCGCGACCATGTTCAAAGTCAGCGACCTTACACAAAGTCCGCGACCATGTTCAAAGTCCGCGACCATGTTCAAAGTCAGCGACCTTACACAAAGTCCGCGACCATGTTCAAAGTCAGCAACCTTACACAAAGTCCACGACCATGTTCAAAGTCAGCGACCTTATAGAATGTCCGCGACCATGTTCAAAGTCAGCGACCTTACACAAAGTCCGTGACCATGTTCAAAGTCAGCGACCATGTTCAAAGTCAGCAACCTTACACAAAAGTCCGCGACCATGTTCAAAGTCAGCGACCATGTTCAAAGTCAGCGACCATGTTCAAAGTCAGCGACCTTATACAAAGTCCGCAATCATGTTCAAAGTCAGCGACCTTATACAAAGTCCGCAATCATGTTCAAAGTCAGCGACCTTATACAAAGTCCGCGACCATGTTCAAAGTCAGCGACCTGATACAAAGTCCACGACCATGTTCAGAGTCAGGGACCTTATACAAAGTCCGCGACCATGTTCAGAGTCAGCGACCTCATACAAAGTCCGCGACCATGTTCAAAGTCAGGGACCTTATACAAAGTCCGTGACCATGTTCAAAGTCAGGGACCTTATACAAAGTCCCGCGACCATGTCAAAGTCAGCGACCTGATACAAAGTCCGCGACCATGTTCAAAGTCAGCGACCTGATACAAAGTCCGCAACCATGTTCAAAGTCGGCGACCTTATACAAAGTCCGCGACCATGTTCAAAGTCGGCGACCTGATACAAAGTCCGCGACCATGTTCAAAGTCAGCGACCTGATACAAAGTCCGCGACCATGTTCAAAGTCAGCGACCTTATACAAAGTCCGCGACCATGTTCAAAGTCAGCGACCTGATACAAAGTCCGCAACCATGTTCAAAGTCAGCGACCTTATACAAAGTCCGTGACCATGTTCAAAGTCAGCGACCTGATACAAAGTCCGCGACCATGTTCAAAGTCAGCGACCTGATACAAAGTCAGCGACCATGTTCAAAGTCAGCGCCCTTATACAAAGTCCGCGACCATGTTCAAAGTCAGCGACCTTATACAAAGTCCGCGACCATGTTCAAAGTCTGCGACCATGTTCAAAGTCAGCGACCTGATACAAAGTCAGCGACCATGTTCAAAGTCAGCGACCTTATACAAAGTCCGCGACCATGTTCAAAGTCAGCGACCTGATACAAAGTCAGCGACCTTATACAAAGTCAGCGACCATGTTCAAAGTCAGCAACCTTATACAAAGTCAGCGACCATGTTCAAAGTCAGCGACCTGATACAAAGTCAGCGACCATGTTCAAAGTCAGCGACCTTATACAAAGTCCGCGACCATGTTCAAAATCAGCGACCTGATACAAAGTCAGCGACCATGTTCAAAAGTCAGCGACCTTATACAAAGTCCGCGA